TGGCGTGCCAGGCCATATGCTAGATCCTGGGGATACAGGGGAGTGAAAATAAGATGGTCTCTATCCCCCAGAACTTTGTGTTCAGCAGAAGGACAGGCACCCCCAGCGTGTGTGGTGGATAAACTAGAATGCCTGGTCGCATTGGTGGCACCCCCCACACCTGGGACACATCTGGGTAACCATGCAGGCCACAGAGAGCAGGTACAGTACAGCTGCTCATGACTCAGCACTCCTGATCCAGGACTGCACTTCCCCGTTATCTCAGCCGGGATCTTTACCACAACACCTTGTCTTCCTTGACTAGCCATTCACAAGGTAATCACCCTCAGCTCCAGAGGCAGGGGTTTCTGCGCTTCTGGTCCCAAAGAAATATTTGAGTAGAACCAGTGTTTAGGAGCAGCAAGTAGAATCAGATATGGGTTTTTACACACACACCTCCTATACTTTGGTAACCAGATAAAAGCAAACACACACACACATAATACATATAGTTGTTTTTTGTTGCTGTCTTTGTTTTTAAAGATTTTATTTATTTATTAGAGAGAGAGCGAGAGAAAGAGCATGAGCAGGGGTGAGTGGAGAAAGGGGCGGGGCAGGGGGGAGAAGCAGACGCTCCATTGAGCAGGGAGCGCCATGTGGGTGAGGATCCCAGGACCCTGGGATCATGACCTGAGCCCAGGGCAGACAACCGAAGGAGGCACCCAGGCGCCCCAGTTGTGTTTTGGTTTTATCTGGTTAACAAATAACCAAAGTACAGTAAGTCATAAACCCACTGCTCTCGGGAAAGGGAAACGCAGGGTGAGGGACTGCTAAAAATGGAGAAGGAAAAGATTTACTGCGGGGCTGGGGTGGGGAGGCCCCAGCTCCAGGTGCGGGGTGAGAGGAACTCCAGGCCTCTAGGCAGTGCCTGATAGCCAGAGAGCTGAGCAAACAACAGGTGGTAGTCCGGGAGAGCAGCAGGCATCAGGACGTCCAGCCTGAGGTAATGGGGAGAGGAGGCCTAGCACATGGGCAGAATACGGGCAGAGGAAATCTGGAACAAACAGCCGGAGGTCACTAAGTGTTGCCACCAAGGGAAACCATGCACAGCAGAGTGCATTGCAGGGCTGGGGCCGACTGGAGAGAGCAGAGTCCAGGCAGGCAGAGAAACCTCAAGTTCCACATGGGTTGGGAGGCCAGGGCTTCAAGCACAAGGAAAGGGCTAAGAAAGTCAGTTCTAAGAAAGGTGCCGCGGTCGGGGCTCCCCAAGCACGTCTGGGTCCTGGCTTGGGCCTGGGGCTCTGGGAAGCCTTCCTGCCACAGGGCCAGGGGACGACGAGGGTCTGTGGACAGGGGTGCGCCCAGAGCGTGGACAGGAGGACTGTGACTGCGGCTGGGTGGGATCGAGGGGTGGCTACTCTGCAGCAAGAGCCTCGGTGAACCATCTTTTAATCCCTGTACACAAGTGCTTTCAAACAGGAGTGGAAATGGAAAGAGGAGCAAGTGATTGAGAAGTCAAAATAGGAGGAAAAGTAAAGAAGTCCGTTACCAAGAAAAGGTTGAGATTTTTTAACTGTACTTTGGGCACTGATTTGTAGATGACTACCTTGTTCTTTTTTTTTTTTTTGACCACCTTGTTCTTAAACACAACTTCTGTTTCGGCTTGTTCCTTCTAAACCACGACAGGCGTTACTAACCAGTACAAGAACGTGTCAGTGTCCACGCTGAAAAACGTAGCTGTTTCCTCTCTTTGCGATGCTTTTGTCCATCTAACACTGGGTTTTAAGCGAACCTCAAGTCTCATCGTGCCCAGGGCATTGCTGCCCTCGCTCCTCCTTGCTGGGCTCTGACTTCTCCCCGTAGCCACAGCCTTAGCTCTGCCTTTGCCTCACACAATCTTTACAACAGGAAAATGACTTTGGATAGATTAACTTGGATCAATCTAGAACTACCGCCTTCCCTGAAAATGGTATAACCCAGTTGCCCTGACCCACCCTTATCCTTTTCAACATAGTCCATGCCAACCCTTAAAAGCTAGGTCCTTAATGACAAGGTTCAGAAATGCTTAGAGGAAATTCTATCCTTATCTTGCCCATTTGTTTGAGAGATATGAGCACTTGTGTGCCAGGAGCTAGGCTCTGAGGAAGCAGCTGAGAACGAGATGGACAAGGTCTTTGCTCTCATGGAGTTTACCTTCTGGGGGGTGGGGTGGGCGGGGGGGTGGGCGGGGAGGGCAGAGAAACTCAGACCATAAACTGATAACCAACCAAACAAGGTCATCTCAATTAGTAAAAAATGGTATAAAGAAAACAAAATTGGGCGGTGTTGGGTGCTAATTTAAGACAAGTGATCAGGGAAGGTGTCTTTGAGCACGTGGGGGCTGTAGAAGGGTCATTTTACATTCCCAACTAAGGCTCCGTGATTGGAGTACGCAGCCTTGACTCTTGGGGCCTTATACCTCAAACTGTGCAGAGAAAAAAAGCCCACGTCCAGCCAGGCCTATTAACATGCTTAACAGGAAGCTGTCACGTTAGAGAACGTTCAATGTGTTAGATCTGTTAAACTTGGACCTTGAAGTGTTGCCTGAATCTGGGGGTCAGATAATAGGTGTCCAGATGTTTCCTTGGGCTTCCTGGCTGCTCTGCTCATTTAGTGGGCAAACTGGAGAAACAGGCTGGCGTGCATGCACATGCCAGGAACTAGAGGGCACGCTGTGCCTGGCTCAGGTGTAGGCAGGCAGGTTGCCGGCCGCGAAAATGCTAAGGTTTTAAGCTTGGTCACCGGGTGGGCTTTCTCTACGGAGAACAAAAGGATGCTGAGTAAAGTCTGAAAGACTTGAACAGAGGAGAGGCAAAGGTGCCATGACTTGCAACGTGGGGCCTCTGTTTTGCTGCCATTTCTACACATAACAAAACCCGGGCAACACCGATTTCTACGTTTCAGAAATCTGATGTACTGAAGTTTTAGCCTGAGATTCTTGTCTATTTTATGGACTGATTCATATGCCCCCAAATCAAAGTAGGCTTCAAAGGGTATATTAACACACTTGTCATGACTTTATCTGCCATGACACAATGCTCAGCATACGTCAGTGAGTTCTTTGGCCAATGAGTCTGAATCTCCTTAAGCAAAAGGTTCACTCTTTCCCCTGAAATTAAAGCAGAAATATCAAAAACTCGAAAGTGACGTTTTAATTGATGCACGAAAACTCTTATCGCACATCCTCTCTGCCCAGCAAGACACTACAACCCGTGACTCTCAAACTTGAGACACCCCAAGAGTTCATTAAAAAAAAAAAAATTAAGAGAATAACCAGAGTTGAAAACAAACACTTGGAATTATAGAAGGTATCTGAGGCATCAAGGACAAAGGTGGTTTGAAAAAGGGAGGAGGAAAAGAAAAAGTCTTTAAACAAGAATGTAAAAGAATTTAGACATTTAAACAAGATTAAAAGGGAATACTCTGGAATCTAAACATCTCTTTAGGGGAGAATGTATAAAAACAAATAGCAGTGCCTGGCACATTCTTTTTCTCCCCTCTTTCCTTTTCCCTAGCTGCAAAAGGGACTTTATAAAAGGGCCTTAAGAGGAGTCAGCTTTTGTAGCGACTTCATTTACCGCGCTACAAAGTTGCAACATTTACCAAGGGGACTCGGGCCACTTCGGGCCGTTAAAAGGCGGCCTACGGCTTCCCCCGGGACCCCGGGACGGACTACCTGTGCCCGCGCCGGCCCCGAGGGCGGCTAGGGAGGCGGTGACAGCTCCCCGCGTCTTCCAGGCCGAGGGCACGCGACGCCCGGCAGGACGCGGCACAGGCCCCGCAGGATCCGCAGTCCGCGGCCTTCAGCCCTGCACGGCCACCCCCGGGCCTCGCGCCCCCAGGACACCGGCCCCCTCGGGATCCCGCGCCCGCCCTGCGCCCGCCCACCAGCCCCGGGCCGCTGCGCCGCGGGGTGTGGGTGCGGGGGCTCCCGGGGGCCACGACCGGGTGCGCGGGGGAGGGGTCGGGAGGTCCGGGGCCACGACCAGGTGCGGGGGGCGGGGCGGGTGGTCCCGAGCTCACGACCAGGTGAGGGGGGGAGGGGCCAGGGGGTCCCGGGGGCCACGACCAGGTGAGGGGGGAGGGGCCGGGGTTCCCGGGGGCCACGACGGGGTGCGGGGGGAGGGGCTGGGAGGTCCAGGGGCCCACGACCGGATGCGGGGGGCGAGGGACCGGGGGTCCCGGGGGCCACGACGGGGGCGGGGGGAGGGGCTGGGAGGTCCGGGGCAAGACGGGTGCGCGGGGAGGGGCTGGAGGTCCAGGGGCCCACGACCGGATGCGGGGGCGAGGGACCGGGGTCCCGGGGGCCATGACGGGGTGCGGGGGAGGGGCTGGGAGGTCCGGGGCCACGACGGGGTGCGGGGCTGGGAGGTCCGGGGCCACGACGGGGTGCGGGGGGGAGGGGCTGGGAGGTCCGGGGGCCACGACCAGGTGCGGGGGGCGAGGGACCGGGGCTCCCGGGGGCCACGACGGGGTGCGGGGCGGGGGAGGGGCTGGGAGGTCCGGGGGCCCACGACCGGGTGCGGGGCGGGGGAGGGACCGGGGGTTCCGGGCCCACCGCCGGGTGCAGGGGGGAGGCCGGGCCCGGGCGGCGCGCAGTCCCCCCCGGGCGCCGTGTGCGCGGAGGCCGGCCGCCAGGGCGGCGGGGGGCGGCGGAGGAGACCCCCCCCCCGCGGCCGCGCGGCGCCCCGGTGCCGTCCGCCCGCCCTCCTCCCCGGCAGCGGGGCGCCGGACCTCGCGGCCCCTTCGGGCGCTTCCGCCGCGCGCTCGGCTCCCTTCGCGCCCGGGGCGGGGCGGTGCGTCCAGTGCGCGCGCGCGGCCGGGACCCGCGAGGCCCGCCCCCTCCCCCCCCCCCCCCCCCCGGCCCGCCCCTCCCCCACCGCGGCGAGTGTCGGCGGCGGCGGCTGCCGAGATTGGAATCCGCCCGCTGGCGCTCGGCGAGGGCGGAGGGCGGAGGGCGGGGCGAGGGGAGGAGGCGGGCAGGGGGGCTGGGACTCCGGCGCGTCCGTCCGCGCGAGACGACGACCGCAGGGCCGCGCGAGGGGCGACCGGGCCGGGGCCGCTGCACGCCGAGGGCGGAGGCCGACCGGGCCCCGCCGCGCCCCCCGCTCCGCGCCGAGGGCCGGACGATGAGTTCCCCGGGGGCCGGGTGAGTTGGCGGGTCGGAGGGGGGCGGCGGGGGGGGGCGAGGGCGCGGGGGCGCAGGGGGGCGGCGGGGGGGCGGGGGCGCAGGGGGGCGGCGGGGCGGGCGGCCCGGCGGGGTCCCCGGCGCCCGGGGCAGTGTCAGGCCGCGTCCCCCGGCCCCGGCGCCCCCCCGGCCCCCTGTGCTCCCGCCCCGGGTCGGGCCGGCGTGGGGAGGCGGCGTGCGCGGAGGCCGCCCGCAGGGACGCGTCTCGGATCCTTAAATGGAAAGGCGCTCGCCTCTGGCGCGGAGCGCGCGGGCCGTGGTGCGGGTGCGGAGGCGCGGGGGGCCCGGGGGGGCACAGGGTCTCCGGGTCCCCGAGCCTCACCTGTCGCCCCGCGCGGCCTCCCTGCCCGGGCCTGTGGCTCCGCGCCGCGGCCCTGGGAACCTGCGCGGGCGCCCCTCCCCTCCCCTCCGCTCCCCTCCCCGGCCGGCCCCGCGCGCCCCTGCAGGTCCGGGGAGCACCCGGCGGGGTCCTGGCGCCGCGCTCCTGCCCGCCCCGAGCGCCGCAGCTCTGCTGGCCCCGGCGGCCTCCAGCCCCTGGGTGCACGGGGCGACCTGGGACGTCCACCTGCGTGACGTCACCCAGCCCCCCGCCCCCGGCCGCCGGGTTCCCCGCTCCGCGCGAGCCGGGTGGGCAGCAGGGCCTCCCTGCAGTCGGGAGCCGCCGGGGGCCGCCGGGCCAGGAGCCCCCAGCACCCGCCGAGCCTCCCCGTGCGGAGCCCCACGTCCGGGGCAGCCCCTCCTCCTGGAAATGCTCGCTGTTTGGTGGCTCGAGTTGCAGAGCGGCTTCTGCACCGTATTTACTTGGAAGGAGACTTCAGCTCGGATGGGACTTGGTGCTTATCGCTGTTTTCGGTTGTTGACATAAAAAAGTTTGTGAACCAGAATTATTTAAGTATCTAAACTCCTAGCTAAAAAAAAAAAAAAAAAAAAAGAAAGAAAAAAGAAAAGAAAAAGAAAAAAAGAAAAGGGCAGTTGTGAGCCAGAAAGAGGTCCCATCTACAAAAGGGTGATTGAAATTCAGAATACTCTTTTCATGGAACCGGAATGCCACCCGGGTTTTCGGGGCCCTGTCCCCTCCCCCGCCACGGCGCACAGTATTCGTGGAACTCATTTCAAGCTTTTTCTCATTTCCCCACACCCTTTTACTGAAAAGCTCGAGGCATTCAGTGGGAGCTCCTTCCAGAATTACTGGGCTGCCTCTGTCATCTGCTTTCCTTCCATCTCACTGCAATGTTTTTTATCCTTCCTACTAGTTAACACCTTATTTCGTTTTTTTTTTTTCTCCCCTCTCCTTAACTAGTGGGAGTTACTCTCCTTTGTCTTAGGGTGCTTGAAAGTACAAACGCGCTTCAGAATTTTTCAATTTGCAAAAGCCTCCCTTGAGCATGCTGCTCCCTCAAGCTGTCACGTTGCTGCTTTCTCCTTTTCAGATCCTATTAACGTTGAAAAAAGTTGTCTCCTTGTAAAAGTAGTATGTGTTCATTAAAGAAAAATTGTAAAATAACAGCAGAATTGAAATGAAATGAAAGTTCAGTCCTTCATAATGCCATCTCTGAAGATTGCCAAGAGTAGTTTACTTTTCCTGCGTTTACTTCCTGGCCGTCCATTCCCTTCTTAACCCCTTGTTTACTGCAGTTCACCTTCCTGAGGGTCACCCGTAACCAAAGAACACACCTAAGCCCCTCTTCTAAATCAGCTCCTTGAGCTTTCTGTGATATTTAACATCAACTTCTCATCCTTGAAATGCCTTTCCTTGGCTTTCCCCCCCGTATCCACTTTATTCAACAAACAGCCCTATTCTAACACGCCCTGCAAGGTCGTCGGATGCGACCACAGACACTGTCCTTGCGTTCACGGAGCTTCAAGTCTAGTGAAGGAGACGCAGATTGGAGAATGAATTCTATAATTAATCACAACTAATTATAATGAAAGTGCACAGTGTTTTAAGAGCTTAAAATGGAACCTGACCCGGTCCTGGTGGTGCAGGGACAATCGGGGAAGGCCTTAAAAACATCACTTTGGAACGATTCTGAAGGATAAATAGGAATTCAGCTAGCTGGACAGAGGACCCAGTGACAGACTGACGGGGTTCCTCTTTGCCTCTTTTCATTCTTCTCATTTAATGTGTGTTTTCCGGGTTTCACTTTGGAGATCACTTTTCTATCTGTCACTAGTCCCTTGGTGTTAGTGCTGTTCACACCCTTCGGTCTGAATTAATTCTCAGGTCTCTGTTCTCTGTTTCTCCTCTGCAGGCAAATCCTTGTTTTTCCCAGCTGCTGTATGCATGCATGCCTCTACCCGGTTGTTCTGGTTCCGGCTGAACTCCTCTTCCTTACCAAACTTGTTTCCCTGGTGCTCCTTATATCTGTTGATGTCATACCAAACCCAAACCTTTCCCCATTCCGTCACATCCTGAGGCCAGCATCTATTGTTTCTACTTTCGTGGTATTGTTCCTCCTTATTCCTGGTGATGCGGGTACAAGTCTTGATACCTGTTGGTATGAAGGTTGTAACAGTCTCATCAAATGAATTGGGCGACTTTCCTTTTTCTCATTTGAGGAGCTTTTTATTTATTTTTTTAAAGATGTATTTATTTCATTTTTATTATTACTTTTAATTTAGATTTAGTTAGCCAACATGTAGTGCATACTTTTTAAAAAATTTTTTTTTAAATTTATTTATTTATGATAGTCACAGAGAGAGAGAGAGAGAGGCAGAGACACAGGCAGAGGGAGAAGCAGGCTCCATGTACCGGGAGCCCGTTGTGGGATTCGATCCCGGGTCTCCAGGATCGCGCCCTGAGCCAAAGGCAGGCGCCAAACCGCTGCACCACCCAGGGATAGCTACAGATGTAGTGTTCGATAATTTATCAGTTGCTCTACAACACCCAGGGCTCATCACCAAATTACCCCATCCCCCTATTTATTTATTTTACAGAGAGAGAATGAGCGTGGGGGGAGGAGGGTGGAGAGAGAGACTCTCAAGCTGACTTCCCGCTGAGCTGATATGGGGCTCTGTCCCTTGACCTCAAGATCATGACCTGAGCTGAAACCAAGAGTCAGGCCCTCAACTGACAGGCGCCCCTTAGGAGCGTTTTAGACTGGAATTATCTTGAGAGTTTGGTAGACCTCACCTATAACACCATTCGGGCTTCATTTTTTTTTTTTTTTCCCCTCTGTAGAGGACTTTGAATATCAGTTTATTTAATAGCTGTTGATCTGTGTAGGTTTTCTATTTCTTGCGTGAGTTTTAGTGTTCAGTATTTTTTCCAGAGATTTATTTTTTGAATTTTCAAATCTACTGTTACTTGGTTTTCACATAATTCTTTTGCTTTAAATTTCTTTGATTTGATATATACTTGTATGTAACATTATATATTGCATATATATTTGTGTATTTGATGATTTCCCCTTTTTTGGCTAACTGACTCAGGTTCTCATCGCTCCTGAGCTGATCTTGCCTCCACTTCCACATTTATCTGGATTATCTTATGCAGTTGTGCTTAAGTTAATCTTGAAGCACAGTTTGTCATTTCTCTACTCAAGTTTCCAGTGTCTTCTATTAAATTAAGTCCTTTCCATTGGGTTTACCTCAGATTTCCTTTATTTGTATCTCCCAGTATTTTTGCTTTCTGCACATGTGCTTTTCCAAAAACCCTTTCTGAGGTCTTTCCCATTTTCTTCTGGGTGAAACCCCTTCTGAAAGAATTCCTTCTGAAGGAAGGGATTTTTTTTTGGCCAGTTTTTTATCTAATATTTTCTTCACTTAGTCTTTTTTTTTTTTAAGATTTTATTTTATTTATTCATGAGAGGCACAGAGTGAGAGAGAGAGAGAGAGAGAGAGAGAGAGAGAGAGGCAGAGACACAGGCTGAGGGAGAAGCAGGCTCCATGCAGGGAGCCCAATGTGAGACGCGATCCCAGGTCTCCAGGATCATGTCCTGGGCTGAAGGCGGCACTAAACCGCTGGGCCATCGGGGCTGCTCTTAATTTGTCTTTAAAAAAAAAAAAAAATCATCTTTATTGGAGTGCCTGGGTGGCTTAGTCGGTGGAGCATGTGACTCTTGATCTAGGGGTGGTGAGTTCAAGCCCCACGTTGGGTATAGAGATTACATAAAAATAAATTCTGCTTTAAAAATCAACTTGTAAAGTATCATATATACATAGTGAAACGCGTATGTTAAGAATGCAGTTCTGTGAGTTACTTGGATGGTGATGTGTATACAAGTATTAGTTCTACTACTAGATTGCAGACTGTAACGGCCTCTGTTGCCTATTAAAATGAATAAGTGGAGAAAGACCCCTGTCTAGCCTAGCAGTGGCTAGACATCGGTTCTAGTGCTGCTGATCTGATTTTCAGATTTAGGAAGCAGAGAGAGGGTCAGGGAGAGAAGGGAAAATAGGTTTCCTCTTAGGCTAAATTTTGAACTAGAAAGTCTTTCTTTCTTTTCTCTTCTACCTTTTATTGGTGTTTATATTTTTAGGATGTCTTTTTAATATCTCAGAGTCCGGGGATCCCTGGGTGGCTCAGTGGTTTAGCTCCTGCCTTTGGCCTAGGGCATGTGATCCTGGAGTCCCGGGATCGAGTCCCACGTCAGGCTCCCTGCATGGAGCCTGCTTCTCCCTCTGCCTGTGTCTCTGCCTCTCTCTCTCTGTATCTCTCATGAATAAATAAATAAAATCTTTAAAAAAAAAATATCTCAGAGTCCATACTACCAGGTGAGTTACTTAAAAGATCAAATGCTAAGTTGTAATGAATTGTTATCAGTTACAAGATGCATCATGTTTTTATGGGCCACTCATAAGGAAAATCTACTTCTAGTTAATTTTAAGAAGTCATCTATTGTAAGAGGCACCCTAATTTCAGAGATGCTAAAATATGAAAAATACATGTGCCTTAGAGTTGACAAATAGGTTTTTTTTTTGTCAGCTACTCAAAGCTCCCATTCCTTTAGTACAGATTT